CAGGCACTACATTGGTGAGTCAATGAATTTTATTTTACATTTCTTCTTGTCATTTTATTTCGTTAGTATTAAATTCATGGTAACGAAATAAAATGACAAAGATACAAAAATCTCTCAAATAAATCTGCTCACCTGTAATTTATAATGGCGCATTGTAGTCACCTTCGTGCACGAAAGTTCGTTCAATCTCAGCTGCTCAACATTTTCAGTTATTTGCTGTTGAATCGCCGATTTTCAAAATGCAAATGATCTGTTTATTTTCAAAGAGTAGTTTGTTTTGTTATTGTTTGGTTGGTGTCTTATATGAAACTGCGACATTGCGCAATTTATTGGACAGACTTGTGTAAGATCACACAGCGTAATTTGGGTGGCATTTTATTTCGTATTTTTAAATCATCTTTTTATTTTTGACAATATCTGTAAATTTAGTTTCCTGCTCTTAATTGGGAATACATACTTGATGGGTTTAAATGCTCCTGAAATGAAGTGCTGCTTGACAAGCCTATATTGTGTATGTATGTGACATCACTGAAGGCCTAAGGTTGAAATGCACAGCCCGCCACTGAGTACCAATTTTACTTTCACATGGAAGACATTGTCAGAGGAGAACCAATGCTGCAAAAAGTATAAATTTATTGATTTAACTTGTTATATCAGTAAAAACATGAATATTTACACTTAAGAAATCAACCCAATGCAGTTACATTAATTCTGTATGTTGTTGAACAGGAACCAATCAAAACAATAATTTAAATCAATTCCAACCACAAGGCAGGCTGTGTAAATAAAGTGGCAAAAACACACTGTAAACTCGTGACAAAAAAAAAACTGGAGCACCCTTAGTGGTACTCACAACCTAAAGCTCGAGGTCCGGAGAGTTGGATACCCTCAATGATTAATATGACTCATAAGAAGAGTGTGACGGGAATTTAAACTGCATGAATTTATTGCCTTCACAACACAATCCAGCAAACAAACAAAATATATGAAAAGGAAATTTAAATGTCACTCTTCTATGAACAGTTAAAAAAAGAAAAAAATAGTCACTTATACAAATGTGAGTGTGGCTGCGTGCGCGTGTGTGTGTGTGTGTGTGTGTGTGTGTGTGTGTGTGTGTGTGTGGGGGTGTGTGTGGGTGTCCCATTTTGAGCGTTCTGCAACTACCCGGGTAGTTTTTTGTGTTGTTACCTGTGTCAATCACAATAAATAAATAAGTTTGACTTCCTCAGGGCAGATGCCATGGCCGGCCAGACCACAGTCCTGTCCACTGTCTAATCCAAAGTAAAAAATATATAATCACTATCACTAGTAAGTTCAACATATACAGTAACCTCCAATCAAATTTCTTCTTATACTGTATATATTTTTTATAGTATCTATGTCACAGGGGTGGGCAATCCCAGTCCTGGAGGGTCGCTATCCTGCATGTTTTCCATCTGTCCCTGTTGCAACACAACTGATTCAATTGTTCAGGCCTCGACAGAGCTTGCTGATGATCTGATCATTTGAATCAGGTGTGTTGGAGAAGGGACAGATGGAAAACATGCAGGATAGCGGCCCTCCAGGACTGGGATTGCCCACCCCTGATCTATGATGTTCAATATAACGATCACAGGCAATACAATATATATTGGGGACGGCATGGCTCAGTGGTAGAGTGGTTGTCTCCCAACCCAGAGGTTGGGGGTCCATTCCCTGGCCATTGTGACCTTGTCAAAATTTCCCTTAGCAAGATACTGAACCCCCAGTAGATCCTAATGCTGCATAATCAGTAGGCAACTGAGGAGCCAGTTTGAAGCGTTTTTGAGTACCAAAGGTAGAAAAGCGCTTTTTACTGTGAGCGACAGCCCATTTACTATAAATCAAAGTGATCACTGCGATCACTGTGCTGTTTGGTGACATAGACTGTACCTAATTTTACACGGCATGGAGAATGTGAAGGAGAGGCTTGTCTCGGGAGATTATGAATACAAATTATAGACAAGCATGTTAAAGGCAATGCTATATCCAAGCAGCTTGACATTCCTCTGACTACAGTTTCATATTTTCATTCATTCATTCTCTTCCACTTATGTTAGGTCGGGTCACGAAGGCAGCAGCTGAAGCAGGTAAGCCCAGACTTCCCTCTCCCAAGTCACATTGTCCAGCTCCTCCTGGGAATCCTGAGGCGTTCCCAAAACATCATCTCTCCATTCTGTAATGAGTTGATTTCAGGGCTTCCTCCCAGTGGTACATGCCCAGAACACATCACCAGGGAGCCCTCCAGGTGACATCCTGACAAGGTGTACAAGCCACCTCATCTGGCTCCTCTAAATGGGGAGAAGCAGTTGCTGGACTCCAAGAAGCTTGGACATCCTCCTGGATGACCAAGCTTCTTCTCTTATATCCAAGGAAGAGCCCTGACACCTTTTGGAGGAAACTCATTTCGGCTGCATTTATCCAGGAGCTCATTCTTTTGATCATGACCCACAGCTCGCGACCATAGGTGAGGGTAGGAATGGAGATCGATTGGTAAATTGAGAGTTTTGCCTTTCGATTCAGCTCCCACTTCGCCATGATGGACCAATACAAAGTCTGCATCACTGCAGACGCTGCACTGGTCCGGCTTTTGATCTCCTGCTCCATCTTCCTCTCACTCGTGAACTAGACACCAAGATATCTGAATGCTTCACTTGAGGCAGGATCTCATCACCGATCTGGAAAGGCAGGATCTCATCGCCGATCTGGAAAAGGCAGTCCACTTTTCCCACTGAGGACCATAGTCTCAGATTTGGAGGTGCTGATTTTCATCCAAATTGCTTCAGACTCTGTTGTGAACCGCTCTAGTGAGAGTTGAATATCACTGCTTGAAGAAGCCAACAGTACCACATCATCTGCAAAAAAAAAGATGAGGGTGTGTAAAGCTGGTCTGCTGTTCCATGGCCAGGACGAAAACCACACTGCTCCTATTGAATCTGAGATTCCACTTCCTGACAGACCCTCCTCTCCAGCACTCCTGAATAGACCTTACCAGAGAGGCTGAGGCGTGTGATCTCCCGATAGTCAGAGCATGCCCAGCGGTCTCCCTTCTTAAAAAGGGGAGCCACCATCCCGCTCTGGTAATCCAGAAGCACTGTCCACGATGTCCATGCGAGATTGCAGAGGCGTGTCGACCAGAACACCCCTACAACATCCAGAGCACAACCCAGGGACTTTGCCACTGAGGAGTTTTTTTAACCACCTCGGTGACCTCAACCACAGAAATAAGAAAACCCTGCTTCAGAGACCCCAGACTCTGCTTCCTCATGGGACGGCATGTCAGTGTAATTGAGGAGGTCTTAGAAGTATTCTCTGTACTGATTCACAACCTCACATGTTGAGGTAAGTAGCACCCATCCCCACTATATACAAGGTATATAGTGGGGATGGGACCCACTATATGACGGTGCACGACTTCCCCCAGTTTTCCTTTTGATTAGTTGCCACAAAAAATCTTCTCTTGAATTTGTTGCTATGACAACTAAAATCTGTCATATTTGTTTGAGTTTTTTTTATTTCATGAATGTGTATTTGTTTCCATAAAAACCTTCATTGCAGGCCAGAGAGACGAA